TTGCATGAACAATTAGAATTGTTAAATGACCTGGGTGCCTCGAAGAATGGAAATAGAGGCAAAGTATCACCTCTTAACTTATTCCCTTGGGGTAGTTAGATCTCGGCAGAACACCAACTCTTCAGTCTGAAGACTCAGTGGACCTTTTGTTCTCTTGCTAACCCTAACTTCAGAATCCCTTGTAGCCCTGTTATTGCAGTGTTGGTCAACAAACACTACAATAACTACAGCCAATATTCCTATCAACATCCTTTTATAATAATAACTTTGCTAAGCATTTTACACATAGTGAATGTTCACAATATGTTAGGGTATAGATGATTTTATTATTATCAGTTTTCATTAGATAGAGCAGAGACTGGAGTTCAAAGAATTTGTGTACTGTGATTCTTACCCCTATAAAATCTAGTAGTGGATTGACATATACACTCCATAAAGAACTAAAAACAAACCAAAACAAACACAAACACAAAACAGATGATCTACATATTAATGTATTAAGCATTTCTCAAAATTATAATAAAAATCACAAGCAAAAATGTGAAAATGTATGTTCAGTAGTATTAGCCATTAGGGAAATAGGAATTAAAATGATATTGGGGATCCATTATGAAGGAAGTAAATGACCACAGTTGTTGAAGAGGATGTGGGAAAAAGAAATTATTATACTCTTTGTAGGTCTCTCTCTCTCTAACCCCCTCTTACACACACACACACACACACACACACACACACACACACACACACACACACAACTTAAAAAATAGAACTACCACCAGCTGGGCTGTGGTGGCACACGCCTTTAATCCCAGCACTTGGGAGGCAGAGCCAGGCAGATCTCTGTGAGATGAAGGCCAGCCTGGTCTGCAGAGCAAGATTCAGGACAGGCACCAAAACTACACAGAGAAACCCTGTCTCGAAAGACCAAAAAATAAAATAAAATAAAATAAAATAAAAAATAGAACTACCATATGATCCATCATAGCACTCTCCTGTATAAACTGCAGGGATCCTAAGTCAGAAGGCCACAGAGATACTTGTATGCTCATGTTTATTGTTGAACTATGCACAGTAGCCTAAACATGGAATGGCCTGGAGGTTTATCAACAGATAAGAAAGCATGATACATTTGCACAGTAAAACTTTATTCATCTGTAAAGAAGAAAGAAATTAGTTAATTTATAGGAAAGTGGATGGAACCTAAGATCATTGTGTTAAGTAAAATAAGCCACTTAGAAAAACAAATAACTTGATTACTTCAATACCTATATATATTTGATATATATTTCATGTAATATAAGAAGAAAATACAAGGGTATATATGTAAGAAAATGTCACCAAGAAATTATATATTAACATAAAAGTAATGAAAATATAAACATAGGAAAGAAGTACAGAGGCAGCCATAGTACTATACACCTGTAACACCAGCACTCAGGAGGTTGAGGCAAGAAGATTATAAATCCAAGGCCAGGCTGAGCTACACAGCAAGTTTGAGGCCAGCTTAGGCCACACAATAATACCTTATCTCAAAGAAAAGAATAATTAGTCCGTGTATATAAGGGAATGCTTCCTGTGTGTAACCATCAGGAAATGAAAATTAAAACTTCATCCCACCAAACTTGGATGTCTATTATCAAAAATAATAATAGTAAAAAATGCAATGAGGATGTGTAGAAAAAAAACCAAACTCCTTAATAATGTTGGTAGGAATGTAAGTTTGTATAACCATTAAAGGAAGTAATGGAGTTCTCTATATATAGATCTATCTATACCACTTCAAGATATTTATCCAGAGAGAATGAAGTCATCATGTAACAGCCATTTACATAAGTACTTTTATTGTACCACTATTCAGCAAAAATACATCTGCAGCCTAGGTGCTCATCAACAAAAAATGGATCAAGAAAGGATGCTCTACATACACCACGGGTTGTTATTCAGTCATTAAAAATGTTGTCATCACTTCTTGGCCTTTTGGCTAAGGTTAAGAGTAGTATCTGTTCTTATCAGAAACTACAAAAATGCAGCTTGAAAATTGAAGAGGTACTATTAGGTATTGAGAAGAGCATTGAGGTAGGACAGAGAGAAGAGGGGCACCACAGAGAGAAGGCATGATGGATATGACCAAGCATGAAATGTGTTTATATAGAAATGCCACCATGATGGCCATTAACTTATTTCAGATGATAACTACCTTTGGAAAAGACACAATGTGTGTTTGAGGCACTATCTATGTTTAAATTACTGTATACTGCAGACATTATGTATTTGCACCAAAAGATCACATACTACTCCATAGTCACATACCATTTTGCTTTTTTGTATTAGTGAAAAATAAATTCAATTTAAATAAAAATAAATTTATATGCTGTTTGTTGGTTTAAAAAATGAACATAGCTTAGTTGCATGTGTGTGTGTGTGTGTGTGTGTGTGTGTGTGTGTGTGTGTGTGTGTGTGCATTTGTGTAAACAAAAGGACTACCTGGGGCACTGTTTCTAAGGA